TAATTATTAAGATTACAACGCTGCATAAAGTAACCTTAAAGCGCACCATAAATCTTACTTTATCCATTTTGCAGAAAATAATTGGTTTACAAAATTGGATCAAATTAAGTTTAAATTTTCTACAAAGGGCATACCTTATGCAATACCGTACGGTATTTCTATTGTGGTAGGTATTTCGATTATTGGTGAAAACCAGTAAATATTAGTGGCATACTCGCAATATTTTGCAGTAGCACATGAGCAAAACGCTAAATTCAACTCTAAAATGTCAATTCAAATTAGAATACAAAGTTCAATCTAAAACCGATTTAATATTCAAGTTTAATTTTGTTATAGACTATCTTATAACCAAAAGTTAGAGCTATGCTCACATGATAAATTTGCTTTTATGTTACTATTTAATTCATTCAATCAAAAGAGTATATGGTAAAGATATGTGCTTCACTAGTCATACATTTATTATATTGAAGCAATAAATATTGTTACAGTAATAACTCTATTAATTGCATCATCTATAAGTGCACACCTTCTCTATATAAAATTAAGTCTTTTTTATTTTGAGAAATTTTTCTTTTAAAATATGAAATGAAATTAAGTTAATAGTCTTCTGAATTTTTTGGATCTTTGAAAAACCCGGTGTTAAATGTACAGTCCCTAATGAAAGTAATAGCGATGAATGTTTTTGTTTATGTTTTACAGTAACAATGAAGCATCCAAAACTCATGAAGATTTGTAGATATCTTTTTTACTATATGGTGCAAACATTTTAATCGCATCAAATACCGCGCCACCGCTGAATTTTTGAAGGATTATCATTTCCAAATAAGATGCTAAAATCGAATTTTTATCATATACTATGCTAAATTTAATTTTGCATAAAATAATAATGTAATTTTGCATGCTGAAATTCAGCCAATAAAAAATAATGCACGTGATATATCAGGCGTTGAAAATTTGACATTTTAAAAATGTCTAACTACAGATAATTTTTATAAAACAACAAACAAAATAAATACGTAATGTTATAGATGTCAAAGTAATATTTGTTTTAATATAAAATAAAATTCCTTTACAATTTAAAATATTAATTAAATATTTGAAGTCTTTAGACTGTTTGCACCATATTACAAACAAGCTTTTCTAATAATATAAGGCATGTTAATAAAATTTGTGAAATTTCGTGTTAAATGAGCTGGATTGGGTGTTTGCATGAGTTAAATTTGAATAAAAATAAATGCCAGTCAAAAAAGGGTTTTTTTGGTGAGTTTTATAATAAAACATAAGGTAAAAAGTGTGCATTATGACAAGGAAGGATTTTGACTAAGTGCAATCTTGATACCTGGTGATCAGAATCGCACACGTGATCGACGTTTAATATCTCAGAACGTATTGGTTAGAAACACGTGAAAACACCAACATTCGATTCGCCATGCCACAAAGAATCAAATGGTGATATTTCACGTGTTTCCGACCACTACGTGAAAAGGCGAAAATCTGACTTTTAAATGCGATACCACTTAATCAAGTTTTTTCTTCAATTAATATAGTTTTTATTAAAATAACTTTAACTTCGTCATAATACTGCCTCTTAGTGAAAATATAATTTTATTATGTTTTATTATAAAATTCATCAAAATAACCTGTTTTTTTGAATAGCATTTATTAAGTGGCTGGAAATTTTTTAAATTAAAATATATCCCTAAAGTATATTTTCACAAAATTATTTTCAATAATTTTTTATTCAAAGTCAACTCATGCACCACCCAATCCGACACCTTTGACACGAAACTTCATTTAAGTTAACATACCTTGTGTCATTAGAATATCTACAAATTTCGTGAGGTTTGGATGCTTTATTGTTAAAATATAGGCGAAAACGCTCACGTCATTACTTTCGTCGGTGACTGTACATTAATGATATTTTTTACTAATTCGAACATCTATTGGAAAACTTTATCCATGCAACAATATTCACATATTTAAAATATTTATCTCTCAGTAACTCTCTTTCATTGTTTGAATCAATCACTGAATCAAAATGCTTTTTGGAGTTATATGAAACCAAATTCAAGATATTGAGATATATTATTCTATCTTTTATTAGAATATAAGAAATTAATAATTTTTTTATATTTTTTATTTTTAGTTTTCTTTAGTATTAATAATTTATTTAACTAATCTATTATTCTATCTTTTATTTAGAATGTAAAAAATTAACAATTTTATTTTGCATCTTTTATTTTAATTTTTTGGATATTAATAATTTATTTATTTAATTAATATATTATTTAATCTTTATTAGAATATAAGATTTTTTTACATCTTTTATTTTTAATTTTCTTTTGAACTAATAATTTATTTAATTAATCTTTATTAGAATATAAGATTTTTTTACATCTTTTATTTTTAATTTTCTTTTGAATTAATAATTTATTTAATTAATTCATTATTTTATCTTTTATTTAGGATATATGAAATTAATGATCTTATTTTATATTATTTATTTTAATTTTTTTGAAATTAATAATTTATTTAACTAATTTATTATTTTATTTTTTATTTAGTTGATAAGAAATTAATAATCTTATTTTGTATCTTTTATTTTATATTAATAATTTATTTAGTCAATTATTATTTTATTTTTATTTAAAATATAAGAAATTAATAATTTTATTTTACATCTTTTATTTTAATTTTCTTTATTTAATTAATATATTATTTTATTTTTTATTAGAATATAAGAAATTAAAATTATTTAACTAATTCATTACTTTATCTTTTATTTAGTTAATAAAAAATTAATAATTTTATTTTATATCTTTTATTTTATATTAATAATTTATTTAACTAATCTATTATTTTATCTTTTATTTAAAATATATATATTCAAGATATGCAAAAATTGCAAAAATATAAAAAATAATCTTAATAATATAAAGATTTACAAGTATATTTAATATAATTTTAAGATTAATAGAAATTATAATATATTTTTCTGAAATATTTGAGTTCAAATAACTTGTTATCAAAATTTATTTTACTTAAATAATTAATATACTAATATTTATATTAATAAAAATAATTTTTATTATAAATGATTAGTTTTTTTTATAAAAATATAAATTTTAGCTTTATATTTATGATAATAAAATAAATATATCAAATAAATTAGATAAAAATAAGATAAAATATAAATTTATTAAGTAATATATTAAATATTTAGATTATCTTATTATGATTAATAAGTCTATAATTATATGAATTCTTCAAATTTAAAAGATATAATTTATAATAAAAGACATAAATTCAAAAGCAAAATATTATAATCTATTAGTATTCTAGAGCTTGAGTTAGTTCTTAAAGAATTTATATTAATTTATTAATATTAAATAATTTTAAATAATATCTTATTAATTAAAAAAATCAAGTTATTAGTTAAAAAATTAGAAATTTCTGTAAGTATATTAATATTTTTTTCTAAATAACTTTAAAAATTCAAGTAATATAATAGAATTTATTATAAAAAACTTAATAAAAAAAAATATCTGCTGATTAAATACTATTACTAAGTTTTTATTATTATTATAAGATATATACTTGAGATATTTTTCTAATTAACTCTATAATATGAATAAAATTAAGCTTTTTTATTAATTAAAATTTGATTAAATACTAGTAAAATAATATTTTATTAGATATAAAAAAATAAAATATCTTTATTATATTATATATAAATACTAATAAATTTTATAAGTTAAAGCTTTTTATAATTAACAAGTCAATAAATTCTTAGTAGTTTAGAAATTTAAGAATTTAAAATTTGTCTATAATATTAAAATAATATTCAGATATTTATAATTCTTTTTTAGAAATAGTTATAAAACTTGAATTATTAAATTGTATAAAATATAAAGACTAATATATTTTTTTACTTCTTGATAATTATTTAAGTCATAAAGTACAAGAAGTAACTTTTTTATATATTAATATTAACTTTTTTTTCTTGAATATAACTTTAAAAATCCAGTTAATAGATATTGAAATAATTATAACTTTTAAGAAATATTATTATTATCTTTATCTTTAATAAGTTTATAACTTATTTTCTATTTATTCATTAATTTTTCATTTATTAATCTATTATTACTTTATTCTTAGATGAATATTAAAGCAAATCAAGACAGGTTAATTTATTTAAAATTTAAAAATAAATATTCTTGAAATAATTTAATATATTATTTAAATCTAAGAAGAGATAACTCTGATAATTATTTATAATTATTAGTACTATATCAAGATTTTTATCAGAAAATTGATAATTTGATACTTGAAAATAATATTAATATACTTAATACTCTTTATCTTTTAAATCAAATAAAAGTTAATAAATTTTTGATCATTTCTAATAAGAATATTATTTATAAAATTCCAAAGAAGAATCAATTTATTATAAAACTTGCAGATATATTTAGAAAGAAGAAAAATAAAGAAGATGATGACATTGAGCTAATAATTATTAGTACCAGTATGACTTTAAAAAATTTAGAAAATATTCAGATTTTTTTGCTTTAACAAGAGAATATAGCAAAGCAAATAAAATTAATTGATATTTTGAAGCAGTTTATTAAAGACAAGAAGATTAATCAATTGTAATAGTCTTATATAAAAGATTGCTTTTATTTTTAAGGCTTTGATTACTATAATAAATTTTTAATTATGATTGATTATAATAAATTTTTAATGACTAATAATAAATTTTTAAAAAATAATATGAAATAGTAAAAATAACATATGTGCAGTAATTGAGCCATAAAAATACATTTTTCTCTAAGTGCATATTCTCTCTAAATGCACACCTATGGCTTGTCCAGGGAGATTTATTTAGAGAGATTTATTTGTAAGTACATTTTAGATGATTTATCAATGTTTGCGCGTAGAATAATGAAAACATAAGTCGAGAAAAAACAGGATATCACATACATTTCCCTAAAAGATTTAATCTAAGTAGTTTGTTGAACTAAATACCAAACAAATATTACATATTAATGACATTGTTGCATTTATCCATCCAATGGTAGACATCACCTAGGAGTTCATCTACCATTTGCGATTCGTTTTTCAGCCACTCGATGTTTGCCTCTTGATGCATTGTCGTATTCTCTGATATTGACAGTGAATTTAGCATCACCTTAATATTTTCACAGTGGGCGTATCTAAAAAAACATCAAATTAGTTTGATATCAAAAAAAATAACGGGATACGCATAGAAACATACTCCAGTTCGTCCAGTAACTCATCAATTTTTTGGTCATCCGAATTGCAATTATTGATTGCTTTTTGCAATTTGATCTTTGTAGAATCCATTTTTCCTTGAACCTCTCTCAAATCTACAATGTTCTTTACAATCAGATCTTTCAATAGAGTATGATATTCATTTACAATTTCTTTCCCCTTGTTCTCTGTAGCAACCTTCCAAAGAAGTTCATCCTTGCAAAAAATTATCATCTCGTTAGAAATCTTTTCTAAAATTGGGCCATCTTTGGCTGATTTATTGACTTGGGTTTCTTTGTTCAAGACTTGAGCCTCGTTGGATATTGGAAACTTTTCATTGTTCTGCTTATAATCGTTTGGTTTCCATGACAGTTGATTTATTGGAATGTTAGAAAACGTACTTTTTTCAGTAACTTTCGACGAGACGATTTGTTTAAGAGCAATATGAAACTCCTTAACAGAGGTATATTTAAGCTTTACAATGCCATGTTTCTCCAAATCAGAAAATTTTGACGAAGCTTCTGAATGATAATGGACGATTACCAAGGATTCGCAATCTGTCTCTTTAAGATCATCATGAAGAATTATCGCAAGGCGGTCCATAGAACTTTTATTCAAGTATTTTAAGAGCTTGGGAGAAAATACTTTGTCATTGTACCAGTGCACAAACAGATCAAAGACCTTATTTGCGGAAGTGGGTTCGTTTATACATATGAGAACCAAGAGTCGTATTAATCTAAGAATATTGGTTAAATAAACTTGTTCAGTGAAAATCAGATTGAGAAGCTGTTGGACTTGATCAATGGAACTCTTGATTTCAGTCAGATAACGAGATCTGTTGTAACTATGTTGGTGAGGAACAAGTGGCTTCGCAGTAAATGCATTAAAATAATTAACCAAATAAGCTTGAGGAAGGCAAAAATCACAATATCCAGGACCAGCTGCAAAGAGTAAGGATGTTTTGAACTCCATAAGAGATATAAGCTCACCAAGCGTATCGGGTGTATTTATATTGGTTAGTTTACTATTGTCGATAGTATATTGAATAAATGTCTTTACGTGCATGATTGCATTTAACACGCGATTACTAGAGAGATTTGAGAAGAATAACGAAAGTCTTCTTCCAACAGGAACAGCTTCATCATATCCAAGGTGGTAAACAAAACCGATGGGTAATTTCTTAGGTTGCCATATTATTTTTTGTGACATTTCCTGATCAAAATTCTTAATCCCCCCATAGTCCTGTAATTTGTGAAGGAAGAGCATGCATTTTAACATAACCGATAAGTCATTGCAATTGTCAATCACATGAGGCAACCAAATTTTGTGAGCGATATATGTTAATCCATTGTACAAAGCGTACAATTGTTCCCTCACATTGTACTGAAGACGAGCAGATGAGAAATGTTTGCGCAAAATTGAAGGTGTTGAAATAACGTGATGCTTTCGATGATTATGTTTTATCTTAAAGCATAATTCAGAACTTATATTTTGAATTTTTCTATCTTTCTGAACAGCCTCCAAGATGTGTTTATAGATATATGAAGCAAGAAATTGCGAGATAGCCAAGTTCAAAATCTTCTCGTCATATGCATGCCAACCATCTGAGATTTCTGCATTATTTTGATAATTTTGATTCAGAATATGAATAAGATGATTGTCAAAAGATATTTTTCGTTTATATGGATGCTTCTCAACTTTATCAACAACAAAAATATCTTGAAAATCTTGGTGAATTTTTGTTTTATTCTCGTAATCTTGAGGAGCTATAAAGAGAAAAGCCAGTTCACATATTCTCAATAGACATTGCAATCGTTCCTGCCAGTTCTCGGCCTGAACATCAGAACTTGAGATATGTAGCCGTATAATTATAGCACGAAATTCGATGACGCGATCTCCACGTTTATTAAATGATTGCATGAGCTTGCGGATTTCATCGAGATCTGAATTCAAATAGGCTAGATATAATTGGAACTCTTCTTTTAGATTCCTGCCCTCTTCAGATCTCTTCCAATCTTGCAATTTGATTTTCGTGATAATATTGTTTGCCATGAGAAGACGATCTTTTAGTTCAGCAAAATTCGGATTCACAAAATCTAGCACTTTAACTCGACATAGATATAAGCAGCATCGTAAATACTCTATAGTGTCCTCCTCATCATTAATCAAGCAAGGAAACTTGTAAACCATACGAGGGAACATATCAACCGCAACACTGAATCTTCCACGCGAGCGTGAGTCTTCAACGACGACACGAAACAGATCAACATTCTTCTCACAGAACTCCAGAAATTCTTCATAATAAAGCTCTTGAAGGAAATTTATTTGTTCCTCTCGAGCAAAAACGGAAAGCGCTTTCTCGCTCATTTCCCTGTCTTTTTCCTTGCGGTAATGGATATTAATAAGACGTAAGATACAGTTGAATACTTCCTCGTCAATTTTTTCTCTATGGCTTATTAAAAAAGACTAGATTATGTGGTTTCTGAATAATAAGCCTGTTTATAACTATTAGGGCTAAGGTCATTATTACCTTTGCATCAATTTAATGATTTTTTCATAACATCTACCTTTGTTATAAGCATCAACAGAATCGGTATACTTATTCGCCCTTTTAAAATACTTTCCCGCATCTTCAAATTTACGAACTTTAAGAAAACAACGTGCAGCATCCTCAAACATATTAGAGTTTTTGTAAACTTCAGCAGCTTTTTCATACATGTCGATATCCTTTATAAATTGCATATTTATAAAATCAATTTAATATATTCATGTATATTCAATTTAGGAAGGTTACCTCATAGCATAAAGCCGCCCGTGTAAGCCGAGCACACTCTAGAAATGCACCAGCTGCACGACTAAAATTCGAAATTATAGTATCCCGATCGGAATAATTTATAGAAGCTCTTGCTATTTGCTGAAGATGATAGGCCTCGGCTATCTTGAGATTATCAGAATTTTCACTTTTCTTAAAGCAGAAAATAGCCTGAAGATAATTTTTTATCTCTTCAGTCTTCTCATGTCATAAATAAGATCAATCATCGAAATGATATTAACCTGTTCATATTGCCGTAGTTCAAAAAGTTTCTTTCCTTTTTTATCCCATTCTGTTGAACTACTCTCCTCGCCCAATGTGGAGAAAGTGATGGTTTCAACTTCACTTTGGATCACTTTGACTAGCTCATTATGTTCCCAGTATTTGCAGATTGGTTCAATGTATTCATTTTTCTCATCAAATATCCAAATATGTCGCCGTGCCCTGGTAATTGCAACATAGAGATGCTTAAGCTCAGAGGAAAGGATATAATGCTTTTCATGGGAAAAGGTTTGAATTCCCTTGTGCTGGTTTTCCAGAGCAGAAAGAATCAATCGCCACTATGATATACACAAAAAAACAACTTAGAAGATCAAAGACTGTGAATAAACAAATGCGTGAATTTTTTACCTTTTGACGCCCAGGTGAATTTGTAAAAAAATTATACAATAAAACGTCATTAAACTCCATTCCCTTTGCCTCATACACTGTCATCACTATTCCGATTTCTTTGTTGATAAGTGATTTAGATTCTTCGTCGCGTACGATAATAACCTGTTCAGCTCCGAATACGTTATTATTTTCAGCAGTCTTGCCAACAGAAAAAACATCAAAATAGGTTTTATCTTGAAATCCTTTAAAAACTATAGGCCGAGGACCGCCAACCTCGCTATGTTCACGTGGTAAACGATCGATTGATTCAGGAAAAAAGCGTTCGATAAGATCAATTATTGAAGCGGCAAGCCGAAGGATCCCGCTGTGTGAACGATAATTGATATTTAGTTCAAATTGGTTTGGCTTTATATCACTACGACGGATATTATTAGCTTGAATTCGATTGAGTTCCCATTTATATATCAAGGAACGGATATCTATATTTATTTATTAAAACATTAGCAAAGTATTACTTTTGAGTTTTGAAATAAGAGCGATACGCACCCTGGAATCGGAAAGAAGAGCCTTTGGCTATACATTGTGCTATATCTCCAGCTAAAAAAATGCTGTCAACACGATCAAAAATTTTAAAGATAAGACCAAAATCCACAATCTGGTTGTCTTGGCATTCATCAATATATATTTCATGAATATGTAGACCTTCAATTTCTTTTTCCTTGGCGCAACGCAAAATGGCTAGTGTTCTGTAATGATCCAATAATTCATGAATTTATAAATATATCAAAAACTAATATCCTCAGATCTTACCGATCTATTGAGTCATAATCACCATTACGCTTCTTTTTCTTTTCATATTGCAAAAACAAGTCGTAAATTTTATCTCGGTTGTGGCAAAATACAGGATATTTTTTAGTGCTTATGGTCTGATATTCTGTTCTTGATAAATACTTTCCTTCGGGATTCGATCCCTAGAAAATTTTAAGAAAAAATATAAATATAATATGTGCTTGTATATGGATATGGTTACATACCTTAATAACAGAAAATTCAGAATAGACCAATTCACGGTTCAGTTTGTTATCATCGAAACACTTCCAATACCTTTCCTTAAAAGCATCGTAGTCCACAAAGTGAGATCTGTTAAACAAAGATAAATTATGATCCCCCTCTTCATCACTATGTGTGTCCTCAACATTGTCATCAAAGTCTTGTTGTTGCACGAACTTTCGAACATCAATTTCGTATGTCCCCTCAAGCATTTTAGAGAATTTCTTGTAGGTAATGAATAACGGAAAATGATCCTCTGTTAGACGAGAAAACGAGTTTGGAATGCTATTTAGATCTTCATCTTCATCTTCCTCGCACAATATGTTGTTGTTTGTATCTGCATCGCGACTTTCTTCCTCTTTTTTTCTAAGATAATTACGAAACTGATCTATTGATATCTCTGTCTTAGCAAGTATTGCCGACTCTTGCAGCTTGTAAAAGTGCTCCTTTACCCGACGACATAGATTGTGGCTCACCGTGATGAATATTTGCCTCTTGTGAGAAATGTCTTCGTCATTGTTTACTGTAGAGAATGGTGTTTTATAAAATGGATAACTTGAATTGTTGATATAGGAAGCAAATAATCTAAACACAATGCAGGTGGTCTTCCCTGTACCTTAAAAAAAATGGAATCAAAAAGGTGTCCACTTTTGACAATGAAAACTAGATTACGTACTAACCAGATCGACCAACTATGATAGTTGAAGTGGGATTGTTGATGATTTCGTGTTCTACTTTTGATACTTGAAAAGTGAAACCGTTACCACCCATTATTGCCGACTTGAACAAATTCTGCAAACGATATGGATCTTAAATCAATTTCAACTTAAACCTTTTAATCATTATATACTATCTAATGCATATTTACCTTTGATAAAGGAATGAACTTATTTGTAACAAGCATTTTATGAACTTCTAACAGCCTTTCATCATCCATTCGAGAGCTGTAAAACTTGTTCTCAGTGGATTTTTTCTCCCCCTCTTCAAAGATTTTTGGTAAAATTATACCATTTTTACCAATTTGTCGAATGGTACACCGATAACTTTGCTCATCTGTGTAAACCTGATGAAGCATCCTGAGATTGTTTAAAGTCTTATCGATTTGATCTCGACTGTCAGTGATAGTCCAAACTTTCACAATTTGCGTAAGTAGATAGCTACGGACAGAAAACCCAGAGTCAACCTGCCAGATTATTTTTAGGACATCGTGATCATGAAGCTCCAATTCATAAACAGGAATTGAGAAAGATGAAATCATATTGTTTAGTCTATGTTTATTCCACGTTCCAGAAGATATCTTTCTGAGATTTTTCATGACATTTTCAATCATCGGAAGTGATTCCAAATGCGATATATATTTTATTGCGTCTTCACTTATTAGAATGTCCCATGGTCCAAGTCTGTCATTTTCATCAAACTCAAATGGCAGGCGGAAAATGTGTTCCAATGGTGTTCTATTAATATTTGCTGTCTCTTCTTCCATAATGACAACGAACAACAATCGTCAGAGATGCTTGTTTCACACTGCTAGTGCTAAAAAAGTTGTGTACACACCGCCGAGTTTGGTTAGTATGATGATCAAATGCACGTTTACTCAACATAACATTCGAGTTGTGTAAAAATATTGTTTTGCTTTTTCACTACAAATTAATTAACGCGATTTTTTCGATCAAAGTACATTATTAATATTGTTTATTTCCTTAAATTTTTAGGTTGCTAAAATAAGTATAAATCAACTTCTGTAACTTTTTTTAACGTTAAGATCTTCATGTAAATGATTTTCATTATATTCATTATATTGCACATGATATAATAAGTCTCGTTAAACCGAAGTGGTCGGTGCTATTAGTAAAAGATTTGGTTTATCGAGGTTTCGGTTTAACGAGGTTTGACTTTATTGCTTTTTATTACTAGTTCATCTTATAATAACTAAATATTTATGAGTTTTATCATTATGATTTTTCTTTTCAATAATTATATATAATTCTAAAATTCAATTTCTTAATACTATAAAAGTCATCATATATTATATAAGTTTAAGAATATTATCTAATAAATTATCAGAAAGAAAAGTATATATAAGTTTGATAATTGATCAGGCTGATAATTATTATTTTATAATAGTATTGCAGGATTATTATTATTAAATTAATTAAGTGTAACTTAAATATAACGTTTGCAATCATATTTTTATTCAAATTACAGTTTTTTACTTAATAATACTAGAATATATTTTATAATAATAATATCATTATTTTATTTTATTTTATTTATCTCTCTTTTGAATTGTATTTTATATTTATATTAATCATAGTTGAGTTAATTTTTTGTTATTAATTTTTCTTTTTAATATTACTTCAAAATTATTTATTATATTTATTATTTCAAGTATATATTGAACTTATAATTATTATTATCTATATTAAAATTACTAATATTCATAAAAAATTCTTTATCAATATTAAAAATAATTAGTAATAATTAATTAATCTTAATTTTATTAATTTATCTTAATTTTTATTAATTTTATTAAACTTAATTTATTAAAAATAACTTTATATTATAAAAAATTAAAACCTAAAGTAATCAAAATTCTTTTATATTATTATATAAAAAATTAATTTTATTAAATATTAAAGATCAATTAATAATTAATAATATTTATATTAATATTATATTTATTCTATATTTTGATTTAATTATTTAATTATTTATTATTTTAATTTTCTTAATAATATCTTGAATTAAAAAAATATAATAATTAAATAATATTAATTATAATAAGAAAAAATTTTATATATAAATTATAATTAAAAATACTAATTTTTATTTGAAATTTATAGAACTTTTTATATATTTTAATTTATTACTAGATTTAATAAAAAATTAATAATTAATAATATAAAAAATTATATATAAAAAATAAAAATATAATTATTTATAAATTTTAATAGTAAAAAATAATTATATTTTTAAAGAAAAAATTATATTATTACTTTTAAATAAAATAAATAATAATATAATTAATAAATATATATAGTGACAATCAAAAATAATATAATACTTAAATTTTTTACTAATTATAATTAGTAAATACATAATTTTTCTTATATATAGTGGAAATAACATAATTATGTTATTTTCACTTAGTTTAGGTTATGATCACTCAGATAGGTGTTATGATCTAAATTTTGTGACATGTAGAAGATATATACTCCATACCCGAATAGGTGTCATGATCTAAATTTTTTGATACATGGGAGATATATATCTCATACCCAAATTAGTGTCATGTTTTGTATGTCATGACACATATGATATATTATATGCTAATTTCTCGATTGAGATCAATTTCTGTTACTAGAATATACGTGAACTATTGAATGCCAGTTTAAAAATCGTGACTGATTTCTGTCATGGGTAAAAAAAATATACCTGATGATACATTCAGTTATGTATCATCATTTGTGGACCCAATGTGAGGGTTATGTCCAAACCTGATATATAGTGCCTTAGCTTTCTGACTAATTCCTCTATGAGGGCCAGGTTTGAGATATGTAATGTCAAAATAGTATTCAAAGAATGAGGCACATAGTGCTGAATGTTATCTGTCATATTATACTTGAGTATCGATCAAGATTGAGATACATAGTGCTAAATTGCTATCATTTATTTCATGTCTATCCAAAGTATAATTTTTTATAATATATATCTATAATAATTTTATCTTGATCAGATACTGATTTTTTCTTTGAATTATGTAATTAAAATAGTATTTATAATCTTTATATGATATACTTGAATATTGCTAGAAAATGAGACACGTAGTGCTAAATGTTATCTATCATATTGCATTTGAATATCAATCAAGATTGAGACACGTAGTACTGAATTAGTACTTCTATCTGATAATACATCAAAGTATAATTTTATAATATATATTATATATCTGTAATAATTTTACCTTGGTATATTACTGAAAATATGCTATATTTTCACAATCTGAAATTATTTTTTGCATAGTTAATATTATTAAATGTTATCTATATGTAGTATTCCTACTTTGATTATTAGGTTTGAGACATATAGTACCAAAATAATATTCTTATTTAGTAATACACCAAAGCATAATTTTATTATATATATATATCTATAATAATTTTATCTTGGTGTTTTACCAAAAGCTAGCTATATTTTTCAATTTCAGAACTCTTTTTCACATAGTTGGTATCTTCGAGTATTTTGCTTTATGTTAAAAAATTGGATTATATTTGATAATCTTGACATATTATTTTTTTGAAAACTTTAATGTATTACTTTTTTGAAAACCTTGGCATATTACTTTTTTGATAATCTTGACATATTACTGAATCAGTTATATTTTTAATAATCTTGACATATTATCAATTTCATTTCTGAAAAATTATATGACTGTAAGACAAATCTGTTCTATACTTATAAAATATTAAAATCATGTGATATAAAAACAGTTATCAATTAATCTAGCTTATCTATATATCAAGCCTATATCACAAGTTTATAAGATTTTAATAATGATAATTCACTAAAATTTTCTCTTATCTTTACATATCACTTATCCAAAATTTCTGTCACGAGCTTACATAATAATTGACAAAATTGTGTATCACAAAAATGGTCATTAACTACGTATCTTAATTCATATATCAAAAGCACTTACCCAAAACTTTATTTCGATCAAAATTCCATAATACAAAAATCTGAACCTCCAAGATTCAATCCAAATTTTTATAAATCAAGCTTTTTATATATTTATCCAACAGTCTACCATCTTAAATTAGATGGCACAAAAATCCAGATATTTAAAGTTAACCAAATTAATATTAGCTTATTATAGAAGAAATTTCTCAAGGAATATATATACTTATACGTGGTTCTCCAGAAATAAAACAAGTTAATGTTAAAAAAGAAGATATTAGTAAAATATTACAAAGTAATTATAATGATCATGTAATAATTTTTGAATCAAAAGATTTTTATTTGATTTTATTTTGTGATGATAATGGTCAGAATAAAAAACTGTCTATAAATCTATTAGCAACTCATTTAATAAATTAACAAACAGGATGAGATAATATTCTCATCCCAGGATCTGCTTTATTGTTAGATAATTATAAAAAATTAACTCTTGATGATTTGTGCTTTTTGTTGAAAAAACCATTTGATATAGAGGAGGAAAAAATAATTGTAAAAAAGATGAATGATGTGCTTAAAGATCTAAAATTGCGTGATGTAAAACACTCTATAATATTTATCTAAGTTTTATTTCTACATAAAAATATGATGAGATACTTCCTTACAATTACAACAAATATTAGACATGGTTAAAAAGGTATTATATTTTTTCTGTATACAAATAACTTCGAAGTTCAAATAGATAGCTCTACTATCTGATTCAAGCATCTTGCAACTGATTACTTTTTTTACTAATCCTCCATTTGTATCTTAATATAACAAATTATATAACTGCAATAATTAACAAGATAAGAAAGATATATGCCAATAGTGATGATATCAAAGTGCTTGCTACAATAGGAATCACTTCTATTTCTCCTATCAAAATCTGAGAATATGATTTAATTGGAGAGGGGGTATAATTTTCCCATTATACAAGGTATGTGATTATATTCTCAGATATAATTGGTGATATATCTGATTTTATCAATGTATCTAACATAATATCTTTACTAGTTTCACTATTATTAGTTTCATCACTTACCTTAGGAATAATCTCAGTATTAACTTTTACTAGTTTAGTAATTTCATCATCAATGTGATCCAGCATAATAATGGAGTTATTATTAAGATATATATTGATTTTTTGGTCTCATCCATATTTTTTCCATGTATAAAATATTTATTGAGATTCACTAACTGCAGATATATTATCAGACTTGGTTATATTTTTTTTATTGACCCTCTCAATCACAGAACAAGATATGTCCTCTGATTTCATATGTCCAAGTTTACTAATTTTCAAGATCAGTTCATCCTTTAAATTTACTAATTCAGACTTGAGAGATGTGATCTCAGATTCTTTTTTTAATATCTCTTCCTGGATCGAAACTGCGTCATTCTGAGCTGATGTTAATCTATCTTTTAATATTTTTTTCATAGACTGAAGTGTTGTAATTTTCTTGAATTTTATATCAATATCAAATTTAGAATTAGCAAGAGAAATAGCTTTACTAGCATTATCAAACTGCAGGTTTTGATTCTTGATAACAACCCCTCCTAGTTTTTTATTTCACTTTTTTCTATCCTAAACCCATTCCTTTTTTTCTTGATCAAAATCCTCATCTTGCTTTATACATTTATCCCACAACATATTATTATATTCACGCAATTTAGAAGAGAATTGGAGGATACAATGTATTTCTTTCTCAAGATCTTTTACATAGGTCATATCAAATAATAATATAGAAAAAAATCAATTAAATACTG